TAGGCTGATTGAAAAGTTGAAGATGGGGGACACAGAGAAACACAAGGATGGGTTACCAGCCAGTTTTGTTGAAACAGTTGAATAACTCTTGACAAACACCCTGTGAGTGTGAGGAAAGTAAACACTAAATGTATTCAACTGTGAAATAACTACATACCTGTGAGTGTGAGGAAAGTAAACACTAAGGAGACTTTCCCACACCCACAGTGGAGTATGCTACAGGGTGCTTACCTAAGCACCTACACATCAGTTACCTTACTAGGTAACTCACTCAATACCGCACCTACAGTGCTGGGAAAAATACTACAAATATCAGAAAAATATAGGGAACATCATAGACTATGTGAGAGCTGTAATATCATACTATAACACTCCCACCTGATGAGACAGCTCTATGCTAGTCCCAGTAGTTTTTGTAAGTATTCTACCTTTGGCTTAGCCAATGGTTTTGTTAATAAATCAGCAGGCATCTCTGAAGTAAAATAATCATTTCTCGTGTGGCTTTATATGCGGTGTAGCCCAGTGCTTACCCACATGGACACTGAGCACTGAGCCGTAGTTGCCTAACTGTCATGCTGCTACAAATGATGAACAACTTTGATCTTTCCACTATCAACTTCCTGCCTTAACCAATATGTTCTCAAGTCCAGATGCTTCATATGGCCATGATGTTCAGGATCTCTGGCAACTGCAATAGAAGATTGGTTGTCAAGATACAAAGTGGATGCAGTCTTTTGAGGATATCCCAATTCCTCAAATAAGTTTCACAACCATAGCACTTCCTGACCAGCTGACACTGCTGCAATATACTCTGCTTCAGAAGTGGAGAGAGTTACAATAGTCTGGAGTTTGCTCTGCCAGCTAATGGCTCTAGTACCCATCTTAACCACATATGCACCAGTAGATTTTCCAGTCGACTTATCACCTCCATGGTCAGCATCTGAATAAGACACAAACAATTCCTTGTCATTACTAGGCCCAAAGGTCAAGCCTAAGTCAAGGGTGCCTTTGAGATCTCGAAAGAGATGTTGTACTGCTAGCCAATGAGCTTTTCCTGGATTGTGATTGAATCTGGCTAATACTCCAACAGTATAGGCAATGTCTGGACAAGTGGCAACACCCATAAGAGAACCAACAGCATGGATGTATGGAATGTCCTTCATGTATGCAATCTCTTCAGGAGACACCGGAGCCTGGTCTTTACTCAATTTTGAGTTAGGTATTATAGGTGTACCAATGGAATTGCAGTCAGCAAGACCATAACACTGTAAGATGTATTGACGCTATGATAGAGTAATAGTAAGCTTTGTCCTATCTCTTTCAATGCCAACACCTAACAAGGACCAAGATCATGCAATTTGAAGTGGCTCTTTAGATCATCTTTGAGCTTTGTGATAGCCTCCTTGGATTTAGATGCAATAGTCATGTCATCTACAAATACTGGTATAATGACTTTAACATCACCCTTTTGGAAGACCCAAATGCTATGATCGCATAGCACTTGTTTGAAACCCAAACTGAGCAGGACAGCATTCAACTTCTTATGCTAGATACAAGGTGACTGGCTGTTAAGTGCCGTGTCGGGAACTTATTCCGGAACTATCGGGAAGTCACCGGGAAGTCGGAAACTCGTGGATAGGGTCAGGACGTCGGCTTCAGCTTATGTGCTGCGCCTCTACGCAAACGCTCAATGTCCTTAATTTCGGAAGTGAACTAACGACGGAAGATATGGATATTCAGAGTTCCGAAGAGTTCCGAATATCGAGCGTACAGAAAGACGGGAGGAGGAATAAGAAACTAAGTCGATATCAGATCTAAAGTAAAGTACAAATTCGCGGAAACTAATATAAGTCTACTCGTTATTGTACTACAAACTGAGACCATAATAAGACGGAAAAGAAAGTGTTCTTAAAACGGAAATACAATAAGACATATTAGGAAGACAATATTCCGAGACGGGAATACAACAACAAACGAGTGAATACTTGTCAAATTACCAAATGCGGAACAAACAAAGAACGCGGATGATACGGTAACTATGATGTTCCGTAGTCGGATATCGGATATCGAAAGTGGGAGATCGGAAGTCGGATATTGAACATCCGGGAACGGGTCGTAACACTGGCGTAAACCATATAGTCCTTTCAGAAGAAGTAAGAACTCATCACAAGCACCTTGGTGAAAACCTTCAGGCTGCTGCAAGTATACTTCCTCTTCAAGTTCACCATCCAAGAATGCAGAGGAGATATCTACACTCTCAAGTTCCATGTCCTCCAGTGCAGCCAATGCTAGGACAGCACGCAAAGTGGCCCATTTGGCAGTAGGAGCAAAGGTATCAGTGAAGTCAAACCCTGGTCACTGTGCATAGCCTTTTGCAACAAGACGAGCTTTGAACTTGTCAATTGTTTCTGGCAAGTTGGCCTTGCTAACATCCACAACTATAGAGAATCTACTCCTGTAGTTGAGTCCAGTGATGAGGCAGAGGATTCTCCACTATATTCTCCTCCTCCAGTTGAGTCTGAGGAAGAAGCCCTAGCTGCCAGTGAGAGAGATCTTTACATTGGTGTGGATGAAGCCTTTGAGTTTGCCTACAAGCCCAGTGCTCATGATGATGCACTGAGAACTCTCAAAGAGGCCTTACAAAGTCCTGATGCTGACAAGTGGTATGGCGCTGTATATACAGAAATACAATCCCTGCTTGAAAATGGCACTTTTCGCCTTGCTAAACTACCTGAGGGTCATAAAGCTATTGGCTCTCGTTGGGTGTTTGTGATCAAGTGTAGCGCTTAGGAGGAACTCTGTTTCTGGGTGGATTGTGACGTGGTTGAGGAGGAGGACTCAGTGAACATTCAGAATGTTTAGAGTTGGAATCAGAGTTGGAACTAGGACCAGGAGGCAAAGCATTATTCTGACCATCTCCCACCTGATTTGGTTCCTGTGGAGCTCCCATCTGAATAGACCTAGAGGGTCCAGGAATAAACAAATCAACAAATTGTGGATTATCAAGAAGAACATCAGGAGCAGTAGGAGTAGAAAGTATGGCAGGTTTAGACAAGCCTGGTAAGACTCCCTCATCAAAGACAGCATTATTACTGATAATAATCTTCTTAGTCAAGGGATCATAAAACGTCCAACCCTTATAATCTGGAGGATATCCAATAAAGACACATTTCTTTGTGTGAGAGCCAAGTCCAATACGTTGGTCCTTCTGTACATGCACATAAGCAGTACAGCCAAATACCCTAAGATGTGATACTTCTGGTTTCCTACTATGCCAGACAGTATAAGGCACAGAATGCTTAAGAGCAGTGGTAGATGAGCAAGCGCACATGAGCTCCAATCCTCATAATTATTTTCTCCCAATATGACACTACATTTGTAAGTATCACTGGATGCCATGACATGTCAATATCCACCAAGAATTTAACTTAGAAGAACTAAGTAATTGGACAAGCAGTTGTAACACCGCCTTGCTCAACAAGGTTACCGTGATATTGCAAGGAAGGTAAAAACAAAGGCCCACTGAAAAGCACAATGCCAACAGTTCAAGTTCAATGTATCCAAAAGACCGTGTTAAAAGGTAAAATGACATGGCACAGACCCAGATGATACTGTGAAGCGCTTGAGGTGTAAGGGAAGAGTGTGACTGGAGAGAGAGAGGTGACAGGGTGTGACAGGGTGAGTCACAAGGGTGAAGTTGCCCAAAAAAGCAAAATTGAGTGACAACAAGCGATTTGGAGTGTGGGAATATATTTCCTTTTATGGACATGGGCGCCTAAATGGGCGAAAAATGCGCACAATCACAGGTGCGAGATGTGAGTCCAAAAAGCGACCAAATCAGGCCAAAATCCAAGGAGATATAACCAAAATAAAATCCAAATGCAATGTAAAGTGTTTTGGACAAGTAGAAGTTGTCAGAAAAGATGTGCAAAGTGATGGATTGTGCAGATGACAACCAGAAGTACTGGGGCCCATAACCTGTTGAAACAGTTGAATAACTCTTGACAAACACCCTGTGAGTGTGAGGAAAGTAAACACTAAGGAGACTTTCCCACACCCACAGTGGAGTATGCTACAGGGTGCTTACCTAAGCACCTACACATCAGTTACCTTACTAGGTAACTCACTCAATACTGCACCTACAGTGCTGGGAAAAATACTACAAATATCAGAAGAATATAGGGAACATCATAGACTATGTGAGAGTTGTAATATCATACTCTAACAAGTTTAGGGTTGCTTGTAAAATGGCATTTTTTGACGCCATTCTTGAACTTTGTACATCTTTCTATATTTGTCGAAATGGATATTGATTCCTTGCAACGATATGTCTGTGAGCTGTTGGTTGTTCAAAAAAACCACTGTCATGAACTCTTGCTTATACTCAGCTGTTAGCCACCTCTTCCAACAAAATTACTCCCCATCGCGTCCCGGGGTCAATGATTAATAGGTGTAGACTTGCCCGATATTGGAGGGCTGGCCGTCAAAACTTGTTAGCACTGCTCTTAATCAGGGAATGTGTTCCATATACGTCGACTAAAGGGCGACAATCTATGCCCATAGAACAAGTTGCAGATAGCGTAATGGTATTATTTTCAAATGGTTTGACACAATGCATGATTAGGCTTGTGTAGCATTCTTAGAACTGGGAGTATTTGATGCATCAGTTTTTGGTTGGTGTGGAACCCTTCACCGAGGCGTGACCTATGGCTATTTATACTGATAGCAAGTACAAGTAACATAGCAAGATTGCCTAAATGATTTAGGTAACAGCAGCTAAGAAATATTCTGAGAGAAATGATGGGTGTGAGCCGGTGTTCAGAGTATCTCAAGGATACAATCATACACTGGGTCAATAGTGGATCTAAGTGCTCACAAGGCTCGCTGCCCTGGGTCACCTGGCATGCTATCCCATGCAGCCAGAAAAAAGAGGTATATATCTGGTTAGATAGGAGCTCTTGGTGGGAATGAGCGTGTGATTTAACAAAATAAAAAACTATAGCCTCGCACGGGAATCGAACCTACAGCCGCAATTCTCTTACCCAGTCAGAGGGACTGTAAAAGTTTTATGCTCTACCAACTAAGCTAACAAGGCAACATGATTGGTGTCATCCACATCGTAACACATACTAAACCACAACCCCACCGAAAGTTTGAGTCTGTTATTTTTTCCCCACATTCCAGATGTTTGTCATACTGCACCTTACTTGTGTTGTACTAGTATTTATATTGATAAAAGATAAATTCGTAAGGTAAGTCAATATATCTTATACGAACTTTGAATATCTATATAGTTCTGCATATGCAAGGTTGTGTTAAGTGCCATGTCGGAACTTATTCTGGAACTATCAGAAAGTCACCGGAAAGTCGGGAACTATCGGATAGGGTCAGGACGTTGGCTTCAGCTTATGTGCTGTGCCTCTACGCAAACACTCAAAGTCCTTAATTTCAGAAGTGGGACTTACAATGGAAGATACAGATATTCAGAGTTCCGAAGAGTTCCAAATATCTAGCGTACAGAAAGATGGAAGAAGGAATAAGAAACTAAGTCGATATCAAATCTAAGGTAAAGTACAAATTTGCGGAAACTAATATAAGTCTTCTCGTTATTGTACTACAAACTGAGACTATAATAAGATGGAAATGGAAGTATTCTTAAATGGGAATACAATAAGACATATCGGGGAGACAATATTCCGAAATGGGAATATAATAAACAAACAAGTGAATACTTGTCAACAGACAAATTACCAAATGTGGAACAAGGGAAGAATGCAGAAGATACAGTAACTATGATGTTCCGTAGTCAAAGATCGGAAGTCGGATATTAAAACATCCAGGAATGGGTTGTAACAGTACCCCCCTGTTAGGCTGAAATCCCATAGAGGTGATTAGGTAAGGTAGGCGTCACTTTAGTTTGGCACCTGTTTATGTAAGCAAAAAAGTGACCTGCTCGCACTCCTTTCTGTGCTTCCACAACATAGATAATCTGTAATCAAAGCCCAGGGAAGTGGAGTTGGGATCCATTCCTCCAGTTCTCAGGTTTAAAACTTGAAAAATAATTCACCCTTGCCAAGTAGTAGGACTTACAAATTTTGACTTTTTTTTTTGAGTCTCTGAATACTTAAAAATGCATTTCCATGTGATTCTGAGATTTTCAAAATTTCAACAGTGTCAGTATTGGCCGCTTACATAATCATCATGTGATATATTGGGCAGCCTTGTTTCAAGGCCTAAAATTGGAAAAGAAAACTGTATTAAATCAGTAAATGGTTGTATTAAATTCAAATATATGTACCTATATTACTTACCTAAGAAAAAGAGGGTATAGTTGCACATGTACTTGTGCAGTAAGCTGTGCACTTGATCACAGGCCACATTACATAAGCAGCACAGTAGCAAATGCACAGTTGCACAGTTCTACTACCATGCCTCAGAAGTCTAAAGCTGCACAATCTCACATCAAAAACCTTGGATCCAAGGCACAAAAAAGCCCTCAGTGACAATCAAGGATGTCCCAGATAATGATAACTTCAATTGCAAACCAGTTTCTCTCAATCTAGATCAAAGCAATGAAAGGATGTATGAGAAAGCATTTATTGTGCATGAAGAAGATGGATCTCTCACCTTGGTGGGCTTTTTTGATGACTTTGAGGAAGAACCTCTACCAGATCTTGCTCCTGATTTGGACTCAGATGATGAAAATGATGAAAATCCTAGAGATTATTACCCAGAGATTTGTTAGGATACACACTCAGGCTGGGTTTCCGGAGAAACCTGCGGGATATCTGGTAGGACTTGGCTTCAGCTTATAGGCTGCGCCCTCGCTAGATCGTGTTGTCCAATTTCAAACGGACGGATGGGGATCCCGGGGAGTCCGGGCGGGGTTCGTGGGTCGTAGGTCGTAAGTCGGGGGTCGTGGGTCGTAAGTCGGAGGTCGTGGGTCGTGAGTCGAGTTGGTTGAGAGAGATAGATGCGCCGGAGCCCCTGGGCTCCGACTAGTGTGAGCGATGTGAATCGAGTAAGGTTTTTAGAGTGGAAAATATTATTAGATTACTGGGGGGAATCTAAGCTAATTTTCTGACTGGATTGTATGTACAACATCTGCCAGTTTATATAGACCGTGGAATGCATGACATACCAAATCCAGTAATAATGAAATGAAACTAACAAAACATAAAACGGGAATAGTAAACACCAAATTGGTGTTAGGAACAGAACAGAACGGAGCGGAGTCCGAATCGTGACAAAGCATAACCCATAACAGGAAACGGAGCGGGAGTGGAGTCCTAAATCGTGACAGGTCATTTGACTAAAATGGGAATGGGGCTCGATTAGAGCGGTGACGGGATTCTAAGCGGGGACCGGTGACTGATGCGTGGGACGAAGATGGACATAGACAGAGATGGAGTCCGGGGGAAGTCCGGTGACTGATATGTGTCGTAATGAGGTCGAACGTAACGAGTCTTGATGTAACGGAGTCCGGGCGGGAAATCCTATAAACAGACGATTGGTGCTTGTAGTGCATGGGGGCATACGGGTTAGTGCCCGGAGTCCGGCGGGATTGTCCAGTTGTAACAAGATTCAAGAACTCTCTGTATTTTTTGACTTCATAATAAATTTTTCAAAAATTTGATTTGCAAATTTGGCCACTCTTGGCACTTAGTAATATGATTACATAAGGTGCTGAACTAAAGTGATGCCTACCTTACTGAGTGATTGAAGTGACAGCTAATTGTTATGTGTCGTGAAATTTACGCAATTATGGAGGTGAGAGTTTCGGCTGCTGTCCTGAGTATAAAAACCTCCAAATATTCGAATTAACGTTTTTATTTCTTTATCCACAACTTGCATGTCAATTCGTCAACTGTTGTTCAACACTACCCCGGAAGATTCAGACACCGAAATTGCCATACTTCAAAAAATGTTGAAGGTCGCAATGGAGGAGATGAAGCAGCGACAAGAGGAGGAGGAAAAGGTTTTGATGCAGGAGTTGAAAAAGGCAGAAGAGGCGGAAAAATGGGAGTTGGAGCGAGTGAAGGTGGAAAAGGAGGCATGGATATGGAAGACGGTGGAGGTTCAGAAGAAGAAGGAAGAGGTGGAAAAACTACAGTGGGAGTCTGAGGCGGCGGAAAAATGTAAGGAGATAAGGGAAGGAAAGGTAAGTCCAAACCATAAGTTTCTGTAGTTCCATCCGATAACTATTGGGTACAGCGAAAAGCCGTGGAGGTGGAGGTAGAGGGAGAGGCTGGGCCTTCGAGTCCTAAAGTAAGTACCATTTGTAAGAGGTCGGAAGTTGATTAACTTCCGAATACAGAAGCAAAAGGTCAAAGCTCCGGAACGGATGGAAGTCCTCCATGACATTCTGTGTCATCAATGTTCAATTCGGAATATGACATGCTGGAAACAAAAGGTAAAATGGGGTGGAACTTGCTATCCCTGCATGGTCCTCAAACTTCTGTGCACACTCGCTGTGAAGAGTGTTCCAAAAGTGAGAAGGCTCAGAAAACTAACGATGTGGAAAGTTCGGGAGTGGCCAATGCGGTGGGAACTGAGATGCCGAACACAGATAGTATGGGCGTCGAACTCCTCAAGGACACCATCGACGCGTTAGTCTTTATCGGGACAGAACTTATGAAAATGTGGGATGCACTGGATTGCCATAATGATATCCAGGAAAAGGGTTTCCATTCGTTGACCCGGAATTTCCGGAGGCAAAACGAGTTTCTGGAGAAGGTAATGGTTAGCATCGGTATTATTGCAGTTTCCGAGAGGTTTTCCAATAAGGCAAGGGAGCAACCAAATGATCCGTTGGTGGAGTGTGTCGAGAAAAGGTGGGAGTCAGGAAAAGGACCGGAAAGTGAAGATGAAGAAGTACAGGATATGGTGGAAAGTGCGGAGATCGTGGATGATATGGGAGTTGAAGCAGAAGGAGGGTTTGGGGTGTCAGAAACATTAAAATAGTTGCAAATATATTTTTAACTTGTATGATTTCAAGAATGAGTGTGATATCGGAAGTATCAGAAACTGAACAGAAAGAAAATGGAAAAAGGGTCAAAGTGATGATAAAGGTCCGGGTTTGCTCGGATAAGCTGTGTGGAAGTCAGTAACAATTTCCATAGCGTGTCCAAGTTCTGTGGCCAATATCCATGAAGTTTCCTCGTTGGTACCTTCATAACCTGCCCATTTGACTAAATAGAGCAATTTACAAGTACGTTGGCGATTGTTGATTTCAGAATCCAAAAATTTGGAAACTTCAAATACAGGCACTCTGTCAATGATGACTGGAGGGGACGGAGGTTGAATACATTCCGGGATTTTGTTAGGAGCACATGGTTCTAACATGGAAATGTGGAAGATGGGGTGGACTGCTCACATACTATCGGAAAGTCGGAGAGTCCATGAAAGTGAACCAGCTTGTGCTATAATTTCAAAAGGGCCTAAGAATTTCTCAGTGAGTTTTTTAGAAGGTCAGGTGGTATGGAAGAATTGAGCTTTTACAAAAACCTGATCACCAATTTTAAAATTAGGAGGCAGGATCCTGTTTTTGTCCATGGAACGTTGGTAATATTCCTGTGCGGAAGAAATAGCTTTCTGAAGTTCTTGATGTAATTCATCGAGGTCGGTAATAAATTCTTGAGCACGGACAGAAGCCAAATCTTGTTCGGAATGTACTGTGAGATTTGGATTATAGCCTTTGTTGGCGAAAAAAGGAGATACGCCGGTAGTTGCATTCAGAGAGTTGTTGTAGGTGAATTCTGCGATTGGAAGAAGGGATTTCCAGTTGTCCTGTTGATAATTGCAATAGATGCAGAGATACTGTTCCAATGTTTGATTAACACGTTCCGTTTGTCCATCACCTTCCGGGTGATATCCCAAGGTGAAGTGTGAAGGGTATGCATATATCATGATCAGGCTGTTAAATATTAGACATATTATAGTACATTATTATCTAGTATTGTTTCCTTTCTTTAATTCCTTATACCTTTCGAGTGTACCTTTGTTTCTTAGTTCAAAGCTTTGTGTATACCTGTGGGCACACTCGGCACCAGAAGAAGAGACACTTTTTACCCAGCAGACACCCCCTCATAACAA